CATCAGAGTGCTCTGGCTTCGTCAAAGTGGAACCTTCTTCATTTTAAGTAATTTCTCTACAAGTTGTGTTTGTGTATATTGTCTTTACAATATGCCAGGTCTGAAAGCCTTACGGTATTCCTCAAGGATTCAGCAGACTCTATGAATATTGTCTGAAATTTTCCTTTATTTTTAGCAGATCTTTGGGGACAGTTTGTCACCTTTGTTAAACCTATGGAAGAGACTAAAAACAGAATGACTCTTGATTTTTTTAAAAAAAAAAAACAATTTCTTTTATCAGCAGCTAACTGTTGTTAAAGAGAATTTGTTTTAGAGAAATAATTTTAATGCTTCTAAATTACATTTACATTTAGTAATTCTACTGAAGAATTATAATTTAAATGTGAACATCCACTGGATATATGACCGTACATTCAATGGTTGTTTGAAGTTAAAGCCGTGCTGAATAAAGGGACTTACGACCCATGCCCAAAATTGCAGTGGCCCTGTGACCATATGATCAAAAGTCAGGCCCACCTGCATGAACATGGAGACACACTTCAACTCCCATTATCTGCCTATCATTTCTCATCTCTGCCATGCAGTCTACCACATACCACTGCTGTGTTCCATTACTGCCTGTCATTAACTACATCTGACCTTTGTTGTCTTCTTCCTCCTGCTGATGGCCTGGGATCCAAGCAGTGGCTGAGTGTGCAACCTTGGGATGATAAGTTGAGGGTAACAGTGTAGTGGAGCCTTGTCTGCTGAAGGGAGTTTGCCAGCCCCAGCCAGAAAGGAGGCAGTGGGATGGCAAGATGTGGTGCCCTCCATTAACAGCCAAGGCAGGAGAGTCAATAGCAGCTGTCTTGGTGAAGGTGGTGGCTTTATGAAAGGCATTGTTTGGGGTGGGCAGAACTGGAAGAAGGGGAGGGACACAGGTTTCTGAAGACACAGTGTGTATTTCGCAGCTTGTGTTGCAAGCACTGCTGGAAAACAGGCATAGGATTGTAAAATCTGTATACCATATAGCACTTTCCGTGAAGCCTCCACCTTCACCTGGGGAACCGCTGCTGTCTTGCCTGGTGACAGAGGGGGCAGCAGGGATACATGCAGAGTTGAGGGCTCCCAAAAGAATAGAGATAGAGGGGAGAAAGATAAGCAAGTGGGAGGAGATGAAGTGAAGGCAAGTATAGTAGGACATGAGACACCTGAGGTGCTCACCTAACAACAGCAGTTTTTTAGCTTAGGTACCACATTGCTAAGGGGCAGAAGTTCCAGTTCCAATTGTAATCATAAGACAGAGATTGCCCAATTTAAATTGTTTTTAAATTTAAACTTAAAAATGAAAAGATGGATATTTGTAAACATGTGTTTAAAAGATAAGTAAAATAGTCCATCTGTATATCAATTATTGCAAATGTACAGGCACCTTTAGATTTCTGCTAGGAAGCAACAACTGCAATATTACTAAACCAAATTAGATCTATTCATGTAGGGTTTTCCTTCTTTTTGTACTCTTTTTTTAAAGAAAAAAGTAACTCCCTGAAGCTCAGACATGTAGCAGAATCCTTGGAAAACATAGGAAATTTGTACATAGAGAATAAGTATTCATATTACTTTATGTCTCTCAGGAGTTTCAAATTCCATACCGCTCTCCTATATAATTTCTTCTTTCTCTCTTTTATTTAAAATTATGACAACATCAGTATAGCACAGCAGAGAAAGATAAAATAAGTAACAGTAATTAAAAATCCTTTTTCATGGAAAAAGTGCTTTTTCACTGCTCTATGAAAAAATATTTTTAGTTGTCTTAAGATGTTTTTTCTTTCAATCAGCTAAGTCCTAGTAATCTTGAAAACAAGTTTTCACAGGAGAAGGAAGAATATAATATGACTTTGCTTATGGAATTATTCTTACTGACTTTGCTCTTATACATTTTTAATGTGGAGTAGTAACAATATTGACAAAAACGATGCCATGCTTGGAAAACAAGCTAGTCAGTCAGTTCCTTTTGGATCATCATTTCGTTGATATGAAAAAAGTGCACCCTCTATTTGCAGAAACATGTTTGGAAGACAGCAATCCACGCATCTGAGGAAATGACTGGATGAGGAGCATTCCCATACTGCATAGTCGTTTAATTACAAAAACAATGTTATTAAGCATAAGTTTAAGCATAACAATGTTATTAACCAATATTTAATTGGTAATTAAATTGCCAATACACAACAGTAGCAGATCTGGCTTATATTTCAGTTTGTTCAGTCTCATGCAAAATAGAATGATTTCCTAAGATTTAAAAATGCCTAACATTTCCCTAAAATTAAGCTATAAAAATGAAGTAGAATTTGTATCATTAGAACAGTAATGGCACTTCAGCTCTTGTATCTGAATTATTTTACAGGCAATTTAAATACTGGTAGTCCTTGAGTTATAACTACAATTGAGACCAAAATTTCCACTGCTAAATAGTGTTGTGATAAAGGATGATGTCATATGACTACATTGCTTAGCAATGGCAATCTTGACTTTCCCAACTGCCATCATTAAGCAAATTCCACTGGTCTTTAGTTAGGACCCATCCCCATCCCAATTAAAGCCATGCTAGGTTTGGTCCCTCCCAGACTCGAGCCTCAGTAAGGTAAGAGGCTACCTTCATGTCCACCCACTCACCCACCTATCTCCCCTCCTTCTCTGTCCTTTTGGCTACATTGCATCTTGCTTTGTGCTGTGGCAAGCAGCCCCAGAACTGCAAGAAACCCCTGAGCTACAGTATGGTACAAAGCCTCATTAACCTTAACCAGGCCCAGCAGTAGAGTGCAAAGCTCAGGAACCCCGAGCCACACAGTGCAAAGTCCCAAGCCCAGTTTCAGCCACCTTCAATGCCCTGCACTCTACAGCCCCACTTAACTGCTATTTTCTTGCTCCCACCGCTGACAAGGCATGCCTGCACAAGACCCTTTGCAAGGCAGCTGCTGGCCAAGTGAAGCCGTGTCCTCCAGTTCCAGCAAAGAAACTGCCATGTGTGACCTTTGGAAGGAAGCCTTGTGCAATCAGCAGCTGCCTCGCAAGGGACCAGTGTGGGCATGCTTGTCAAGAGTGAGAAGACAGCAAAGGTTAACTAGGGTGACCGATCTTTGAATGCCAGGGGCCAAAAAAGCATAATTGAAAGGAGATGGGATGAGGGGGGAGTTGAAATATCCCTATAATTGTAAATGCAGGTAGACTGCCAAGCATCCAAATACTTGGCAACCAATCACATGACTGGGGATTTGCAATGGCTGTAACTTTGGAGAGTGATCATAAATCCCTTCATTTAGCAACACCATAACTCAAATAACTGCTGAACAAATGATTGTAAATCAAGGGCTACCTGTTCAGCCTCTAGTCTCTACAATGTTTAATGAAGCATCTGCTGTTTGAGCAACATATTGCAAAGTCCATATCAGTTTGAATCAGGAAAATCTAACATTCCCTAGCAACCCTTTTTTTCTAATGAGCCTCTATAACATTGCCTTCATGACAATCTCAATCTATATTGGAGGTAGCTTAATTTATCCTTGGGTGTTCCAGGATTAAAATGGTGTTATCTTCCATAAGACAACATTATCAATTTCAAAGTGTGCAGACGCTGTTGTGAGTTGCTATTTGTAATAGAATCAGGTGATTGTATGCAGTGGGATCAGTCTTGCATTCATCTTACATTTTAAGAAGAGGGGGAGTTTTCACACTGAGCTCTTCCACTGTGCACCCTACCTACTAGACTCTGCAGACTCTGTAGTTCCTGGGAGAGTAAGAACAGTAAACCCATACTCAAACCCATATGACAGATAATCCATGATGTGGAAAATCAGTAAAGGGGGAAAGTTTTTTCTTCATTACTGGGCAGCTCCAAATATCATCTGCTGGTTAAGCTTCTTTTAACAGAAGGTTTAGTGTGTGCTAAATCAGCATACCCTTGAGAGAAATATTGCCCAGTAAAATGGGAGAAAACATTCTGCTTTATTCTTCAGCCTCACTTCTATTGGCTGTCTGACAGGGGAAGGGGTCACAATGGGTTTAGCTTGAAAAGAAGTGTGCCAGGAGCTGATTTTCCAAGAGGCCCACTGAAGCAGCGCTGATATTGGCAGACTGTTTCCCATTGTCTAGTTGCATTCAGAAAGGAGGAATGCATGTATTTCATACCTGAAATTAGAAGTCAAGTTACTTGCTAATAAGCCAAAATAGAGGTAGAATATGAATTGATAGGAAATGTTATACCTGCCAGCTCAAGGATGGGTGGGTAACACTTTGAACCATAATGAAAAGTCCTAAGTGACAACATGAGGTAAATTTTCTTTGTGGAGATGCATACTTTAAAAAAAGATTATCTTTTCTGTGTTATTTCAGACTCAGGGCAGGCATATTTTTGTAGCTTCTCTACCACCACCATCCTGCCCCAGCTGCTGCTGCTATTTTGCTTTACTGGCTTGTTCAGTTGTTTTATATCATTACATTTTTAAAAAAATACTGTAGGATATAGTAAAATTGAAGCAATATATAAATAAAAATAAATCACTTTATTTTTAGTGGTGCCTTTTAGATATTAAAGAGGAGAATCCTTGTAACAGTGTGGGACTGAAGGTCATGTTAGGGCCATATTTTTTTATTGGAGTATATTTGCCTGAAGGTAGTAATATACATTCATGGAGAAGCATCTCACAAAAATAAGTACTAATTATGTTGCCAGTGTGAACTTCTGCCAATTTTAAACATCAGTTTGAAATTAAGAAAGTACAAACTGCGAAAGTTAATGTACATATACATACTAATATACATATAGTATAGGACAGTTTTATTTTCAATCAGCTAACCCTATAATTGATTAAAATATTTACATAATGTAGAGTCAGTCAGTATTACAATGTATTAGTATCTTTTTGGGAATAGAGCGCACACTTAGGAATAAGTTTTAATTTTAACCTTTAACAGAGAGAAGGAGCAAGAAAAGGAAGAACAGTTAATGGAAGACAAGAAAAGAAAAAAAGAGGATAAGAAAAAGAAGGAATCTACTCAGAAGGTAAGGGTATTTGGCTGTTTGTCATTAAGTATTCATTTTTTATAATCAGCAGTTCACTTAAAATAACTGCCTTTATGCCCTCTACATTTTCTACTTGTCCAGCCTTCATTCAGTTTTGTGCTCACAATAAGAAGCCTTTGAGTACACACGATACCTCTTGAATTTTGCATACAGACAAGTGATGATTTGCTATGTATATTTTTCTGCTTGTGTGTTTATCTAAAAACAATTGCTATTCTTGTTGGTAGGTAAGATGAGTAGAAAACGTGAGGATATCACTTTAAACAAAAACAATCTAGAGAATTGGTTTGGGTCTTGAAGGGAGTCCTTTATATATGTAACTTGTAATATATTTTAATTATTTGTTATGTAATAATATTTAGTTGTTAGAGACCAATATTTTCTGCTTACATTTCTTAGCAAAACTTATTTGAACTAATGCAGGAAGTCCTTGACTTACAGCAGTTCATTTAGTGACTGTTCGAAGTTACAACAGCATTAGAAAGTTACTTATGACCATTTTTCACACTTAGGACCATTGCAGCCTCCCCAGACTGAAAAAGATTCAAGAGTTGCTTTTATAAACAAACTCCTGCAGTTTTTAGTAAAAAGAACCACCTCTTCATTCGTTCATCAAAAAACCTTTAGAAGTTAGCTAAGAAAGCCTCTTGCCTAACATATTGGGGGATAAATTGATTCTATCTTGGAAGTAGTTCAGTTACTGTCACATTCATCTTAGGATATTTTGTTAAAGAAGATTCTGTGAAAATTTGCTTAGAAGAAATAATTTTGGTTTAATTAAACTAATATTTGTAAAGGACTATTGTTTGTATATATCAGTATTAGCACCATTTTAAAAACACTTGCTTTTCTAGGTTGTCTATTTCTCTGGTTCTCAGCCTTTTAGGAATGTGTTAGTGATTTTTTTCACCAGCCTGATTATGTATATTTGAAAATAATTGCTAGTATTTAGACAATTAGCTGGACTCGAAAACAAATCCTATCACCAATTTCTGAGAGCTACAAAATATAAAGTTCAAGTAATTCAATATTTGTAGACATCGACCATTTATCTTTAGATACAAAGATATACAGGAACCAAGATAATTTTTATCGATCAAAGATAGCAACTTTGCCAGAATACGAACCGTAACTTTTTCCCTAATCAATTGCTGGTAATTTCAAGAAAACGTTCTGGCAATATCACATATATTATTATCATAAGAAGATGTAGAGTTTTTCATTTGCTGTTTTTCTGAGATTTTAAGGCCAGAAAGTCATGTCTAAAAGAGGAGCACACAACCTGATTTAGGATAACGGACATATTTAATAAGCAGTAGCTTGTGAGATAGGGATAAAAATAATACTATAGAGATAAAATAAATGTTATTTCAGATTCTATTAATTAAAAATTAAGTAAAACTAATATAGTTGATTGCATTGTATTTATCTGCATTGTAATTATCAAAGGTTTTTGCTGCAATATGATAATAAACTTTATACCTAATAAGCCATCCAAGAGGTTACTGTGAAGTTGGATCTCATCACCTTACCCCATCCACCATATAGTTCACACTTGATATTACATTACACTGTGTGTACAATTATTAGGCAAGTGAGTATTTTGGAGGATTAATTTTCTTGAACAACTACAGTGCTCTCGGTCAATCCAAAATGTTAATGAACCTCAAACCTAAATATTTAAGAAAGTAAAAGTGAGGTTTTGGCTTTCTTCAGAGAATATGCATGCAGAATTATAGGGCAACTATTAGTGTGCAGAATTATTATGCAACTAAATGAAAAATGAAAATTTGCCTATCTCACTTGTTTATTTGCATCTGTTAAAGGAAGAATAATAAACAAACAACTCAAAATGTACAAATAAACATTTCTGATATTTACAAAAAAATCAGTGACCAATATAGCCACCCTTCTTTTTAATAACAGTCATAAGCCTTGCACTCATGGAGTCTGTAAGTTTCATGACCTTTTGACAATCAATGCTTTGTGAAGCAGCAACCACAACCTCCCAGACACTATTCAGAGAAGTGTACTGTTCTCCAGCATGATGACTGAAGAGTCCACCAATGGGTTATTTCAGTCCTCCTGCCCAATCAGACCAAGTTGTCAAGTTGTCACGCCTCCTTATTATCTGGGACTTCCCAGTTTTCATCTTGGTCTTCGCCCATGAGGACGTGATTTCTTGACTCTCAGTCATTTGGAGCAGGTCAGACTAGACTTTATTACACCATTGGTGGATTCTTTTTGTTTCTTTTTTTACTTTTGGAGAAAGATTTAGTGGAGATCATTTCCTTGAAAGAATATCTGAATCCCTTTCCTTTCCCTGTAGGGATAGAGTAGCACTCCTCTCCAGGACTGGGGGGGAGTTCCTTCCCTGAGTTCAACCTTCTGAACTCTCTAAAAACTTTTGAATACAAACAGGGGGAGTTTTTTTTCCTTCGTTGCAGAGTGCAGGGGGATCAATATTCATACTCCCCTAGCAGGCGGGCATGTTTCCTAGCTTGTGGCCGCCATTTTGAAGCCTCATAGCTTCTTCTCTGACCGGGCTCACTCAGGGATTTCTGTAGTGGCCGCCATTTTGAATTAATTAGCACAATTTTGCCAAAAGTTCTTTTTTTTTCCGGCCGAAGTACAGCTGTTGCGTCATTTGGAGCAAGCGCCAGGGGGAATTTGACTATTTTTGTTTGCCTTCTGGCTGAAACTGAAGAGGAAGCCTCGCTTCAGCAGCGCTCCATTTTCGCACCTAACAGCTATTAGGCGCAATTTCCAAAACCGCTCTACTCGCTTCAGAAGAGCCTGGAAGCTTGTTTCTTTACATTTTGGGCATGTTTTGCTCATTTTAGGAGCCTAAATTCTCTTCATCTACCCCCCCTCCCCTTCCTGGCTCAGGGAACTCTAGGCGTCCGCCATTTTAAGGCCATTTCCATAGGAAAACGCCCATTCACACCCTGGCCGGATGCCATTTTGTAAGGTTCAACAACTAGTTCAGTTATTTATAATTGTTCTGAATAATTTCACTGATCTAATTGCATAGCTTCGCATTGACCTTGTATCATTTGCACTAATTTTGCGTTTGAGATTAAGTGTTTCAGATTTCAACATCCCTATTGAGGAAATCTATTATCAACCAGAGTGTGGAATCAGCAGAAGCAATGTTCCTTCAAGCCCTGCTCGCTATATTGCCTATATCTGTCCCTCTGCATCTAGTGGTTGCTTCAAGATCCTGACCATCGCCACTATTGTGGGACACGTGTGATTTTGTCACCAACCTGATCCAGGTCCATTGCTGGGTGACAAGTGCTACTGCACCAAGCGTGAGCTCAGGTTAGCCAGTGGGCTGACTCACGCTAATCCACGTAAAGTCAGTCCCTCTTCAAGGGGGTTCCTGACGTCCCTTGCAGAAACGAGTCAGTCCCAAAGTTATCTCTGGGTTGCATCTCGACTGATATGGCAGAAACCACTGAGCCACTTGGACACTGACAACAACCCCATCCAAGCTGAGCCGGCACCCGAGGTGCCTGGAGGTAAGGCCAAAGCCAAATCGAAGTACGGCAGGAAGGCTGGCAATGCAAGCGATAAGCAGGCCGAACATACACACCGAGCCCTGGAGAAGCAATTCTCCCGGGCCCAATGTTTGTCTGCTGAACCAGGTCATATACTGGCATACTCCACACCACCTGACATGGGAGTGCCTCGGCCATCCAGATTGGGAGCTTGGTCACCTGAGAACGTGTATCAGCAGGTCTCGACTCAGACCTTTGGTCAGGAAGGACCACCTCTGTTGGGGGAGGAACTTGAATTGCCCGGCCCGTCAACTGCACCTACTGCTGCCATCGCACCAGCTGCTGCAGGATTACGGCTTCCGCCAGAGCAGTCCCTCTCTGACCAGCTCCAAGGATGGATATCGCAGACTGTGTGCCAAGCCATGGCGTCTGCGGGGCGACAGCAGGCTTCTCCCATTCCAGGGTCTTCTTCAGCACCCACCACCTCCGGACGAACTACATCCCATTCCCCTGAATCCGACTCTTCAAACGCTTCGGATTATGAGGGAGGTAGAGACGGTTGGTCGGATTGTGAGGAACCTACCCATGAATCTCAACCAATGGCGGAGTTCTTCAACGCTTCGCTGTTTCCTTCTTTGCTGTGCAGAACCTGTACTGCGGGCAAGCTTTCCTCCAGTCTGGTCCCAACCCCTCAGCCTTCCTCTGATCAAGAAGCTAACGCTAATCCCCTGTTTGCCGTGCCAGTAGACAAACACCTACAAATTCCCTGTCCCCTATTATTCCTCAAAAATATTCAGGGACAGTGGGAATCACCGGCTGCTCAACTGAGCCAGGGAATGGCGGAGCGCAAAATAGTGGATGTGGCTAAGAATTTGGCAGATTTATTGGAGGTACCAAAAGTAGATGAGTCATTAGGTCCACTTTTTTCGACTGCCAGTCTCCCGGCAGATGGCTCGGACGCCCTTAAGGCGGAAGATAAAAAATTTGAGATGGCCTTACGCAAGGTCTACTTGACATCTGCATGGGCAACTAAGGCGGCAATGGCCACTTCTTTTTTTGCCAGGATTTCAATTACCTGGCTTCGTCAGTTGCAGGACAGGGTTCTGCTGGAAGAGGTCAGAATCCATCAGGATTTAACTAAGTTAATAGCCACATCTGAGTATATGGCGGATGTCTCCCTGTATTCAGCTAAACACTCAGTCCGAGCAATGGCTTCCAGCGTAGTTGCTAGGAGACTCCTTTGGCTCAAAAACATAAGTGGCAGGCGGCGCGGCCCCCTTCAAAGGTGGCAGATTATTTGGGGAGGCCCTAACGCCATACCTCATAGAAAATAAACAAAAGCAAAAGGTTATTTCTCACTTGGCAAGGAGATCTAACAGATGCTTCTTCCCTTACAGTCGCCGGCAGTCCTTTCGGACTGGGACCGCAACAGAATCTGCACAACCATACCGACCCCCAGCCCCTAAGATCGAGCGC